CCCAAAGCCTCACCAGCTTCCTTCTGCCTCCAAAATGACCAGGAAGGGGAAAAACAGCTCTGATTGATCCATAAATCACATCGAAAGGATTCAACAGGGGGGCTTCCACACAAGATTCTACAATCCCAAAGCCAGACTCTTCCTGGTAAATATTTGGCATACAGCACATGCTCTTCCACATCCTTGATGGAGTTCATTATATTTCAAGGCCACTGGTCACAGCATGATCCTTCCAAGGCAGCTTATAATGATAAAACTCAACAGCTTAAATTGTCCATTAGTTTTTATTGCTCTTGTATAGAAATATTCAAAAACTACAACAGAATGGCAGCTGCAGACCAGAAGAGCTTCCTCAAAACCCTGTGAAAATGAGACCCGATGGATTCCCGAGAGCCCCCCAATCCAGAGGTGTGGGGCTACTGTGGAGGAGGCCCTGTCCTTCAGAGCTGGACCCACAGCTGCCCCCAAAGGCGGGCAAGTAAGAAGGACCTTTGCTTTTGCTCATAAAGCAAGAGGAAGACGGTGACAGAGGCCCCTCACGTAATTCAGAAATGCAGGTATGATCGATACGGAGGAGAGAAATGCCAAGGGAAAGAAAGCATTCCGCAAACAGCATTTAGGTGCTGCTGTTTAAGCGACGCGATTCCCTCAGCCGTAACGATGCTTGTATTGCCTTCCATGCTGCAGCTCCAACGAGCTTTCTAAGGGCAACGTTCACTTGAGGCCATCCGATGGAGCACAGATGAATGATTAACAGTTCTGCAGAATTTGCGTCCTGAAAGAGGCTGGCTTCCTTCCAGTGCGGTACTGAAATGTCACAGGATTCTGGCCGCTGCGACACCCTGAGCCTTAATTATGTGGAGCGAGCAAAGGCCCAGCAATGCTAACGGCATACAAAACTGCACTCAAACTCTGCAAGAAATCCGTGGCACACCAGCTCTTTGCATCTCCACAGATGGCAGCCCTGGGCAGACATACCTCGAGCTTCTGTCTCCGGGGAGCTGGTCAAATTAAGCCACGGTTGCCAAGAGACTCCTCGGGGTCGAGCTCCAGGGCAGAGATAGAAAATCAAGTTTCCCGTGAAGCGGCTGGCGCTTGCAACATGCTTAGAATGGGCCATGCAGAATTTTTTTTCGAAACTGCCATTTTGGAAATCTGCCCTGAGCCTGGGACACTGCAGCCCTATAGTGGGGTGAGGATTATTATTTATTTATTTAAAACATTTCTGTGCCGCCCCCATCCCAACAAAGCCTTGGGGCAGCTCACAAAGAATACATAAATACATACATAAATAATGATAACAATAAAAAAAATCGTTAAAAAAACCCCGGTGCATTCTCGGCTAAAAATTTTAAAATCCTAATTAATTTCCACAGACACAATATTTTTTTAAAAAGTCAACAAATTCCCAAGTAGTAGGGAACAAATGCATTAATGTTGTGCCAAGTCCACAAGAAGCCTGAATTGTCTGCTAGCTTTGCTGTGCGATTCCAAGCTTACAAAACCGAGACTGTTGGTACGGTTAACAAACCACCGACAACCCTAAAACAGCCCATGGGTTCTGGGCGGTTTGTTAGCCTCACCCCAGAAGAATGGACTAGGAATCTGGGCAGAAGTGGTCCAGATTATGGCACCGTTCCGGTCGGAGTGGAGGCCCATTCCAAATCGTAGCGAGGCAGGCCAGAGATCAAGGTGGGAACAGACGAGCGAGGCAGACCAATCCAGATAGAGCAGCGCACTCAACGCCGGTCAGGAGTTGAAGCCGGAGAGACAGACCAAGAAGCAGCAGATACCTGGGACCAGGGTGGAAACTGAAGCTGGGCATGGTCCAGAAGTCGAGGCAAGAGCAAGGCAACGGGCAGAGTTTCCCGAAGGCACCGGAAGCTCCAGCAACCTCAAGACCCAATGCTGTTGCGGCTGCGTCTGAAAGGAGGAGCCGGTTCTTAGAGAGCTCCTCCCTCAGGGCTTCCAGCTGGTTCTCGTAACTCGCCAGGGGGCTGCCAGAGGTGGACCAGTCCTGCAACCACCAGAGCTGCTATACCAGTCTCTGGCCAGAAGAGGGAGCCCTGGTGCTGCCCCAGGACTTCAGATGCGAAATGCAGCAACTTCGCTCTAGAGCAAGATACTAAAATAGACTAGTTGCCAGAAGACAAACACAGACTCAACGAGGAGGAGAGACAAGGGGGCTTATGAAACAAACATCTGCTCCCGAGCTGCCACTTGGTCTAAACCGGCGTTGTTCTGAAGGACTAAATGCATTGTTGGACCGTCGCCTGTTCTCGCCAGCTGGGCCATCGTTCGAGGAACTTGCTACGCCAGTCTGGCTTTGAAGCACTATGAAATCCGCAACAAGTTTTGTGAAGTGTGTTCTTGGCAGCTATCACAGAGCCAGGCTGCCCTTTCACACCGCAGCTGGATGTCTTTCTTGGAGTTGATTTGATGCAGGCCCCACAAAGCCAATTGGAGTGACCTGTTTGAATCGAGTACCTTCAGAAAACGGCTGGCTTCCAATGGACTTCTAGGAAGTGCTCCCCTCGCCTCCCTTTCAGGAGAGGCTGACCCACAGCTGCCGACAACCTCCGACCCCTGCCAAGGCCTTGGCCGTCGTTTTCTGAGCAAGTGAAAGAAAACCTCTCCAGTTAAATGTTGGTGCCCCAGTAAAAGAGGATTAGGAGCAAGGAATCTTTGAATGCAAGTTTCCATTTTGGTTGGAGACTTCCAATGTGGTCTTTGTCTGTTTACCGACAAACCTCTCTGCAGCCAAACGGGTTTTCTGAGAGATTTATCGAAAGGGAAAAAAGCAAGCGATCCAAAACACACATTACAAAAGGAAAAAGGAAGGGAAGGGAGAAGGAAAAATATAAGCAGATTCAGGCAATAGTTCTTAGAAATGCTGAAGTTCGTAGAAGGATCAGCTGGAAGGAGAATGATTTAGGGTGAGAACCCCACAAGGGGCTCAGCTTCCTAGCTTTCACTGTGCAACAGTCTCTCAGAAGGGCCACTGTGGATAAAATACAGACCGCAGTGGAGATGGTGTCTCAGCAAAGCTGGGGCGCCAACGGACACTGCAGAAGTTTGCAAGCATCAGCTGCCCCATTGCATCACAATCTCGGCCTTCCACGCACGGCAGAAGTACAGCAAACCAGCTGCAATTACGGCGACACAAGGGAGAAACGTTGCGGTGCGGAAGGCTCTTGGTATGGGTTCCAATGACACGCTCTTCCACGACACTCAACTTTCGTTTTATGAGCATTCTTCCAATCTTTCCAGGGGCTAGCAATACTGCTGGTTAGGAGCCAAGATGGACTTTAGATCAGTATGGCTAAAGAAACATGCATCCTGGGCATGATAGGGGTTGTAGTCCTACACACTGGAGACAACCAGGCTGGGAAAGGCTTCTGAAAATTGATTCAAGCCCACTTCTGCCTTGGCAAACTTCGTGGCAGTGAGCAGACACCTCACGGCCGATCCCACCTGAGTGCCTTTCCAGACAGCAGACGGGCACCCATATTTCTCTCAGGCCCCTCCTGGGTACACAAAGATCTCATTTGGACTTCGTGGCACTCAGTCAGCTTCATAAAACACGCTTTCTGGAGCCATAACAGCCAACATTTGTTTCCTAAGAATGAATTTAGAGCCGGGGGTTTATTGAGACTGAGCAGTTCAACAGTCTTTTACTGGGCAACGCACCAAATGTTCAATTATCTAAGAATGAAAGGCATTGGATAAAGTGGGGTGGGGAGTTATTTTTCTTTCATAAATGCATGCCCATTCCATCCGTCATAATATTTATCCTAGTTTGGTTTACTAGGCTAAAGAATTTAAACAAAAGACATGAAGGCAGCTGATAAAACAAGCGCAATCAGTTCAAAGGGACAAATTTAAAATGGCCATCGAAGCAACAGGGTGAAGAAATCGTTTCCCCAAGTTTAACGCACAATACAACACGCTTAGTGCTGGAAAGGTTTGCGTCATTCCCCACAACCCCAAACTGGGCTGCACGTCTGATTTGCAGAATTTTCAAGCACTCAAGCAGTTCTCCCTGCTTGTCTGCCATCGCTGACGTTCTCGGTGATGAACCATGTTCTGCTGGACTCTTACGAAGCTACCTGGGTCTAACTTGCTGGATTGCCTGTAAGAGAAGCTGGGTTCTTCCCAGAGTGCTATAGATAGCACCTTTTCAGGGTTACACAGGTAGCACTTGGTGGGACCACACGGGCTCCCCAGGCCAGGGTTGTGTGTCCCCTGGTCTTTTTAATATTATGGGATGCTCGGCTGTTCGCAGAGGTTTTTGTTTTCACTGTTCAGTAAGTTCTGGTGCTTCATTAAAAATATAAATAAGCTTCTTTGAGAGGGATATTTGCCCTGTAAAGGGGAAATAGATATTTACACAACATCTGTGTGTGCAACTTATTTTTAAATTATATTTTATTTATCCAAATGCTGAACAACCCACGGGTCACAGCCCAACAGCCTACGATGGGGTCCATCCATGGGTTATTTGTTAGTGCGGCTGGCTTCAGCCCATGTCCGAACAGCAACCTGGAGTTCAAGGACAACCTATACCCAACCTTGGTGGATGCTTGGAGAAATGGGGTAGAAGCACCGAAGGCCGGTGGGGGTGGAGCTTACGTGAGGCAGATATTGCCCCAAACCTGAGGTTCTTCCCACCTTCCAGAAGTGAAGGACCTGGAGGAGGGCCTTCTCTGTGGAGGCGCCCCATGTGTGGAATGCGCTCCCCAGAGAGGTCCGCCTGGCGCCGTCATGTTTCTCAGCACCAGGCTAAGACCTTCGTATTCAAACAATATTTTAACGACGTATAACACTTATAGGTTTTAATTGTGCAGCCAGGGTGTTTCCGGGTTTTATCTGTATTTGTGTTACATTTATTTCTGCGAGCCATCCTGAGGCTCTATAGCAAGGGCACGGCGTACAAACGCTTTCGAGGAGGACACCCAGGACGTCTCCGTGCCTGACCCGCTTTCTTCACTTCCCTGCAGGTGCTCCATTCCACAGCCTACTACTGCAAGACCGTCCTGGACGACAACAGCTCCTCCGCGCTGATCATCCTCGGCTTCGTCATCATGTCCCCTCTGATCGTGGTGGCCACGGCCCTCTACTGCAGCCTGGCCCGGCGACTCCACCTCTTCCTGTGCTTCCAGCCGTGTTCCCGGGCCGTCTACAAGGGCGTGAAGTGGCGCTGGTACGAAGAAGGCGGCCTGTGCGGCTGTGTGAAGGGGTGGAACCGCCAGGTCAAGGCCTGGGTTTAAGCTGCTCCCCCAAGCCGAAGATGCTCCTCTCCCCAGTTCTTCAGAGCTTGGTTCGGCGGGGCACGAAGAAGCACAAGCAGTGACGTTATCCCCAGATAATCCATGTTGCTTTGGCTCTTGCTGCCGAAGGGCGCCAGTCCTTGAAGTTGAGTCCAGACCTGCCTATGAGCTGGAGCTTCCCCTTGTCCGTTTTCCACTCTTGCCTTGGTCGTAACTCAAAAGTTAGCCATTGTCCAGCTGGTGGTGTCTCTGCTTCTCCATCTGCTCTATAAGGACAGCGACACTGGCCTACCTTGCAGGCCAACCACGAGTTGGCAGAGAAGGCCCATGATGTCCTCCACACCCACGCATAAAGAGTGCGCTCTTGCTGAGCAGTGGTTTCGAGGGCTCTTCTGGCCACCACTAACCGGGAAGCCACCCTAAGGTCCACACCCCCTTATGCTCCCCCCCCAGGAGGAGCTGCATTCAGCTCCTGGTGCTCTCAGCCAAGGTGGATGACCTTAGCAACAGAGCTAGAGCATCTTCTGAGAAGTCCCAGCACCTGAGGGCCAGAAGAAAGGTAGATGGGAAAATAAAAAGGTCTTGGCCTGGTACTGGAAAGAATCAAGTGTCCGTGCCAGGCGAACCTCTCTGGGCAGTGTATTCCACCACAGAGAAGGCCCTTCTCCACCTCGCCACGCTCCTCATCTCCTTCAAGGAGGGCTCCCAGAGAAGGACCTCTGATCCAGATCTTAGGGGGCAGGCGGGCGGGCAGGCACGTGGCTTTAAACAAGCCATAAAGTGTCAGTTGAACCTTGGGAGTTTAAAAAAATCCAGGAAGCACAAGCCAAGATCACCAACTGCCCTTCTGGAAAAGGTTGTGAGATCTCCTGTGACTCAAACTCCTTTTTCAGCATTGTTGACCTTGTCACATCTTGCCATCACTAACTGCCTGGAGAAACTAAGCCCAAAAGAAGCCATGAACACCCGAGATCTCTCAAACCTGTTAAGTTTTCCAGTACTAGACCTTGAACAAAACCCTTTCCTCAATGTCTGTTATGGAAACCCCGCACATCCAACACGGTGTTCCTAGCTTGCTGAAACCTTGCAGGAATGTTTCTAAGGCACACTCTCCATTCTCAGACGTTTTGGGGGATGTTCCAATCAGGCGGACCCTTCTGAAGAGTCTGCTCTGCCCCTGGAACGTATCTTGAAAGCACCCATGATTAGAGAGTAAGACAAGGAGATGAACGCACGATCAATCTTGCTCTAGAGATGGAGAAATTGGCATTTTAACGAAACGGACCTTGCTTTGCACTTTCAAACCAATGCGCAAACCAAGACTCAGCTACTTCTCTGAATTTATTGGAGTTCCCCGCTCAGAACAGCACAGGACGAAACCAAAATGCCTGCATTGGGGAAAGGTAAATACAACGTGATTGCAAAAAATGCATCGATGAGGCACCATTCTGCACCAGAAATGTATGCATCAGGAGGGAAATATTCAGGAATGTGAATTAGTTTTATCAGAACCTAAGACTAGAAGAATACAGAATGGAGATGACCCAAAACAGGCATTTATTCCTTAGTTGTGGCCGAGGACACGCGATTCAACTGCCAAGAAATTCGACTTTTGTAGTGCAAGATACCAAAAAGTCGCAGACTTAAAGCCCACGAGACCAGAGGAGAGAGAATGAAAGCGAAAGCTTGCAAAGGCTGCTTTATTTATTCTCTAAACTGTGTGTTTAAAGGACCTTCTTTCTTAAGGACGCTCTGTTTGCAAAAAGAATCTATGGGGTGATGAGCTCCTGTGATTTCAGGGATAAACCTTGGGCAGAGAGATTCAGAGAGGGGCGGACAGCCATGGAACAGATGCGCACAAAAGGAGAATCTGAGCAGAGGTGGGGCAGGAACTGGAAGCAAAGAAGATCTTCAGGGCAGCCTGCTTTGAGTAAGTGCCCATAGACAGGGGGCGCTGCCAGAACTTCAAGGCTCCCACTGATAGTCCATTAGGGCAGGTGCCCGAACCCAACCCCCCTAACCCCACAGCATCTCGCCCTTTGTCACGCGCGACAAAATTACTTAGTAGAATATCCCATGTGAGGGAGATGGCCCAACAACTCCTTCTGTGCTTGGGAAAGAAGAATCATCTGCAAAGGTCAGACAAGCAGAAGGTCCCTGCAATTAGACAATTGTACCATTAGACTGGAGTCCAGGGACATAAGCTTGGAATAAGGACTGCAGGGGGGGGGAGTACTTATGCCCTTCAAACAAGACAGGAAGGTTTAGAGATGTTTAGATCAGGTACGCATGGTCAATTTTACGGAACAGGCCAACAGAGTCCATCTCCAAGCAATTAAGCACACACCCTAAATTGTCAACTTCCTTCAAGTGTTCTCTAGCACAGGGAGAGTCAAGAGGTAGATTTTTCTGCCTCAGCCAGCAAGTATTTCTCTGGATGCCTGTTTGCAAAGGCTGCTGTGGAGAGAAAAAGTCTACTACAAATTGAGTGGCAAAATTATTTCGAGGAAAGTGGAAAGCTTTAATAAAGCTGGGCAGGTTTTCCTTCCTGTCATGGAAATGAGTGTCTGCACTGCAGTTTTCCACATGTCCGATTGGCTTGCATAGATGTTTGTGCCTGCAATTTCTGGCCCATTCCAAGTACATTTCTTTGATCTGGCTGTGAATGGGACAAAAATGAAAAATGAATGCAAACAATGTGCAGTGAGGCCTTTTAAAGACAAATGGCATTGCACCCACTCGTCCCTTGGCTTTGTAGATGTCTTTGCTGTCAGTGAAAGTGCATTAGAGTTTATTAAACAACGCCAAGGTGCACTGAAGTACATTCTGTGTAATTTCTTCCACAGCAAGCCACCAGGATTATCGCTTTACCTGCTGCACCCCATAAAGGCCCCTAAAATTGGTGATGGGTGGTGTTGTGTGACATGTGTATTCTTTGCCTTGTACACATTTTGGAAAAGTAATGCAACAAGCAAGCACCCTCCTTTTACCGCTGTGCTTCCTGTGCTCTCTCCTGCTGCTCTGTACGACTGAGGAGCTGATCACCAACTGCGCAATTTTCACGTGACGCATAATGTTCCTGTGATCTCCAGCTATCTATTAAAGATTTTAAAATACAAATGCTTGACTGTAAGTATATCGCACCTGTTTCCTGAAAGGAACCCAAGGCACCTGAAATAGCCCTCCTTTCCCATTTAGCCTCACAACACCCACCCTCTGAGGTAGGCAAGGCCTAAAGACACCCAGTGAACTTCATCCTTCAGGGGAGATCAAAACTCAGAACTCTCAGGGCCCAGTGCGACACTCACAACCACGCCACCGATAGTTGTGTTTAATGTGCTTTATCTTGCTAATGTTTTAGGTATTGTAAGCTTCCTGGGAAAGCCTCAGCAGTTACAAGAGGCCTATAAACACATGTATCCATAGGATGTCCTGAGCTACCCAGGGGTCAAGGAAAAATCAAACCCTGATTTCTTTATACAGTTCTCAGTATATTTTTAGCTGTTTTGAATGCATTTTGGTTTTTATATTTGCATTTTTTGTGTTGTTTATGGCATTGCTGTACACCACCCAGAAAGCTTGAGTTATGGGGCAGTATAGAAATGAAAAGACATATCGGGGCCTGTCCAGGGTCCTGAAACGGGCTGCCCATGGAAGGTTTCCAGGGTTGTTCTTGCGTTGCCCGAAGGTGCAACAGAACGAGGGCCCGAAGGACCAAAATACCAGGAGTTTTTAGCTGTAAACCTCACCATCGCAGAAGGGGAAACTGATTTCTGTAGCAACAAACTATGAGCTCCCCAAGAAACGTGAATTATTTTGGAGTGCCATGGTCAGGCATGGGTAATTAAGACCTTTAAGCAAAAGACCCACTTCATTTGTTGTTGAGCAAAGATATGTCCGACCCATCGTGACTCCATGGACAACATTCCTCCAGGCCTTCCTGTCCTCCACCATCCCCCAGAGGCCCCCCAAGCTCACTCCCACTGCCCCAGTGACTCCATCCAGACACCTCATCCTCTGCCGCCCCCTCCTTTCGCCATCTATTGTTCCCAGCATCAGGCTCTTCTCCGGGGAGTCCTTCCTTCTCATTAGGTGGCCAAAGTATTTGAGCTTCATCTTCAGGATCTGGCCTTCCAAGGAGCAGTCAGGGTTGATCTCCTCTAGGACTGACCGGTTTGATTGCCTTGCGGTCCAAGGGACTCGCAGGAGTCTCCTCCAGCACCACAGTTCAAAGGCCTCGATTCTTCGGTGTTCAGCCTTCCTTATGGTCTGGAACTCCCTAGCTTTCTCCATGATCCCGAGTATATTGGCAATTTGATCTCTAGTTCCTCTGCCTCTTCGAAACCCTGCCTGTACTTCTCATAGTTCTTGGTCCATGTACTGCTGGAGCCTGGCTTGTAGGATTTTGAGCATAACTTTGCTAGCATGTCAAATGAGTGCGACTGTGCGGTAGTTTGAACACTCTTTACATTGCAATTCCAAAGAAGGGCAATGCCAAACTGACTTTTTCCAATCCTGTGGCCACTGTTGTTTTCCAAATTTGCTGGCATCTGGAATGTAGCACTTTAACTGCGTCGTCCTTTAGGATTTTGAATAGCTCAGCTACCATCTCCTCCACTAGCTTTGTTGTTGCTCAGACTTCCTAAGGCCCACTTGACTTCACCTTCCAGGATGTCTGGCTCAAGGTCAGTGACCACCCCATTGTGGTTATCAGGGACGTTAAGCTCTTTCTTGTATAGTTCTGTGTAATCTTGCCACCTCTTCTTAATCTCTTCTGCCTCTGTTAGGTCCCTGCCATTTTTTGTCCTTTATCATGCCCATCTTTGCATGAAACGTTCCCTTCGTATCTCCAGTTTTCTTGAAGAGATCTCTGGTCCTCCTTATTCTATTGTTTCCTTCTATTTCTTTGCACTGTTCATTAAAGAAGGCCTTCTCATCTCCTCTAGCTGTTCTCTGGAATTCTGCATTCAATTGGGTGCAATGCATCAGCCCCAGAGGTG